AACTTTTGATTACTGTGGGAATAAAATGTGCATTCTATCCTTCAATTTTAGCGATTATTATTTTGAGAGAAGTAAAAACCAAAACATTTCGGTCCATATGTTTGAATTTAGATGTAACATACAATGTTTGCTAAATACAATCATTGATGCTTGTTCATAAATTTAAACATAAATATATTCAAAAATTTTTCAACGCATTTCTTATTATTTAAAAAGAAAATATCAGGTATGAAATGAATTCACAAACCGATTTGGATAGAGTAATTGACCATCACGTTTACCACACTCCCCAAACTGAAATTTGAAACGTCCTTCTTTATCAAATACTTGGATGCGATGGTTATTAGTGTCCGCAACAATTATATCATTTTGTGCATTCACAGCAACTCCAGATGGTTCAGTAAACTAAAAAAGACGGATAATAATTAATGATGCATATACTTTTCAAAGTATTAGACAATTTACTTAAAAAAGATTCATTTTATATTTCTCTCTTACATTAGTGTGTATACTATCAATTATTGAAACAACAAAACTTTCTGCAGTATTTTTATTAGAAAAAGCAAAACAAATATTTAGACAAATATTTTGTTCTCCAAAAATTACTACGTAAGCTCACTGGTTCACTACATATGCAAACAATATCATCTTCATAATCAACCAGATGCTTTGATAAAATACACAGAAACACTTATTTCTGCTCTTTCGATGAATGATTACACAATGTAAATGAAACAATTAATTGCGTACTTGTCCTTCCATAACACCAAATTCACCAAATTTGCAGTGATAGATCATTTTTTGACGCTTTATTTGTGTTCTTGGTGTATACAGATTATTGATGCCTAGATTCTATAAAAAATAAAATCAATTTTGTTCAATTTCAATTTTCAGTATTAGTTTTAAATTATATATTTCGACAAAGAAAAAGTGACTAAAAAGTGATACTCAAAATTCTATACTTAAAATACAATAACAAATTTGCTGAATTTATTTTCTTAGCAATCGAAAAAGTGCACTTTCACCTTTCTTTTAAGAAAACGAAATTCAATTGAAAGAAGAAGTAGATATATTCAAAATGACCTTCTCAAGTTCCAAATCAGGTGATTCTGCAAGTTGTAAGCCAGTAGCAGGTTCAAGTCCCATACTCCATTTTTCATACTGATTACTAAAGCCATTATCAACTGTGACAAACGTTCCAAGACTTTGACTTGAACCTCCATACTCGTTTTTAGGTCGTATCAAACTCGAATCCGAGAAATTATTCACAGATAGGGCTCCATTAGTTACTGCTACTGGTCGAGCTAACTGTCGACTTGCAGGTCGACCAATTGGTGTCGGAGGCATTCCTGCACTCAGAGCTGCCATTGTTCCTTGAGGCCATTCAGATGCTCCACGGACAAGACCTAAATAAATAACTAAACTATTGTTCAACAGTTACGTTGCTAAACTAGTATTTCTTAACTTGATTACACCTATCTCTAATTATCAAATTAAACTACAAATACACGAAGAGTAATCAATTTTTCATTTATGGGAAGTATTTTTAAGCCAGAAAAAAAAAAGCTAGAACTGTACATTACAAAACGAGATTAATATGAGTTGGTTTTAAAAGTATGATAAAAAGTACAAAAGCAGAAAAAATCAAAACTTCAGCACTAACAATAACTAATGAAAACATGAAAAAAATAAGTAAAGTACACGGAAAACAATACATACCCATGATACTTATGATTTGTTGACGTGCGAAATTTGGATTCAATGGAGGAAAATCGAGCTCACAAGTTGTTTGCAGGATATTATTGTTATCCGGATTGAATGAAAGGTAAACTTGTAAACGAGAATGAAGAAGTTGCTTAAATACCATCACTTCCGTTGGTGCAGCATATTTCACGAGACGTGAAGTAAACTCAATCGTTTGTGCCAATTTTTCGGCCATCTGTTGCACCTATCAATAAGATTCTTTTTCTCTTTGAAACATCACAAACAATGATTTATTATGAAAATTGCACATTTGTGTCAAATTTAAGAAAAATTTTCTTTCCAATACATTCTAATTTGAATATTTTTCTTAATTTCTAAAATATATTCGCTACTTTACTTCAATCTTAGCTTGATTTCATTCTTTTAAAAATTGTGGAATTAAAAAAAACTTTTCAGTCATACTTTTTTATCAATCACAGTTAATTGTAACTGCTTAGCGCCATAAGCATTATCTAAATCTTTGATAATCTGTCGACGATTTTCTTCAATTATACGTATCAATGTCTGCGTTGCTTCATCTACATTTTGATGAGCCCTAGTGAGTGAACAGCTTAAGCGATTCTGGGCGGCATCAACCATCTAAATTTTGACACACATAAAACTTTCAGTCAGATATAATGCTAATATTTTCATTGAATTGCTCTGTTAGTGATATGCTATGATATAAACCATTTCAAGTACAAAATTCATTGTTTTTTATTTACTCATTTTTACACTTACTGTTTAAAAACAAACATTACTGATCTCTTAAAAAGTTAATCATTGATTTTTTGGTACAGGACAAGAGATATAATAATAATAATGATAATAATAATAATAATAATAATAATAATAAATTTTATATACTTTGTACGTTTCAAGAAGTTCGGAATGTTTTAAACGAGCATCTTGCACTAATGTTTCCATAATTGCCATCTGCTTATCAGCTACTTCACTGATCAATTCATACTGATGAACTGGCAGTGCATGATCGACCTGAGTACAATCAGCACAAATTGCTAAATTGCATGTTAGACAAAAATAGCGCAACGGTTGAGAACGATGCTGAAATTTAAATATTCCATCTATGCTAATCATATGATATAATTTTTATATTTTTGTAATACATACAATTATTTCTTATTTTTTTCTCAAAATAAAATTACCTTAATAAAATTTGTAGTAAAAAACTTGAATCATAATTGATATTTTTAATTTTGTAATAAAATTAAATAAAAATATAAAACCTCAATTGCATTTAATAGACTGTACTCTAACTTTTCTCTTAAAATTCTAAAATAAAAATAAAAAACAAAATTGTCTACAATTATAATAAATAGGCCTTAAAAACATTTAGAATTATTAAAATTGTACAAAATTTAATTAATTTTATTTTTAATTATTTAATAAAACAAAATGACGAATTCTTACTTGTATACATTTGCATGATGTTTTTTCAGCAAATGCAGCAGCAACTGCAGCAGCGTCCTCCTGAGACAGCTGGTCCACTCGATGTCCTTCAAAGCAGTGCATGTATTGATGGGCCAATGTACAGTTGGCACATAAAAAATGCGTACAGTCTTGACAAAATGCACTAGCCAATTCGCCACTCTTACATCCCGTACATGACGAATTTTTATTACTATTCTGCAATTGTATGCATACACGTTTATAAATTATTCGAATTACATTCATTTTTATAATAAATAAATGCAAAGAGAGACAAAAAATACATACATTTATATGCAAATATACTATTATATAACAAAAATCAATAAAAATCATTAAAAACCTGATCATATGAAGGTGGTTCAATTAATGGAGGTGATGAAGATGTTGAACTTGGTGAGCCAAATATCAAACCTTTATCATCCGCTAAAGTTTGACGTGTCATAACACTTTCTAATCCATAGTCCGTTAGCAAACTTTCTATCCCTGAAATTATTTTAAAAATAATCTACATATATATTACACATTTAAAAAAAAAGCTTTAACAAATGCATGCAGTATTTGTGATAAATTTAAAAATTAGTGCCCAAATCAAATCATAAAAAAATAAATCTCAGTGAAGTCTAAAGTACTTTCTAAC